TCACCAACTTAGATGCCTAGAGTGAGACTCGGACCCACTTACTGCCTTGTAACTTACACCTTTTACTTCCTGGCCCATGACATCTGAATTTGGCTCACTGAGTGTAAGGATTCTAAGCTGGTCGATCGCACGCGCCTAAAGACAAGAATGAGTAGAGTAGCAAGTGTACGCTGAATTAGCCCCCACCCGTTTTTACCTTTCACCTTCATCCAGCTCCTTGGCATACAAGTCTGATCCATTGACTTTTTCCATTGACTTCAGTGGGCTTTGAATCAGGGCTCTTCGACTAGCAAGCAATTCTAAATGAGACTTTATATGTCACCTCTGAATTTGACTCTTGGGTGCAAACTCGCATATGTCCCTTGACATCAGTGGAGCTAGCCCAGTTGACTGCATCCAATGGCCTTGTGTCCGTTTTGTAGATGTAGAGAACACTGTTGCGATGGGAGCAAATATACTCTCTCCCATTTAGAATTTTAAATTCTGTACATTCACAAGTCTTGTTAATGATATTCACTGATTTCAGTCTCAGAGAAGAGGATTTAATGTCACATTGGACTACAGGACCAACTTTTGGAGGGGAAAACTGCTGGTTTAACATTTGAATTTTAATATTTATTAGGGTATTTATACCATTGGTTTAACACACTGAATCTCTACTGTAGATTCAAACAGGAGTTAAAAGGTCAAATCTTGTAAATGAAATATTCGAAATTCATATTTCGGTGTGAATATTTTATGAGCAGAGATTATCCAACATTTTAAAAGACAGCAGTTATCATTTCTGAGTTTTTTCAGACAGCCTTGTGTTATGAAAATTGTTAATAATATGGAGGTGATATCAAACACCTCCTATTCCCTGGCATACTTCTAGTAGCTACTCGGCAGTGTTTAGGGCATACAGGATACTGCAGGCAAAGTGTACAAAGAGAGAGTAGTGGAATTTGGTGTGAAAGTTGCTAACGTGATAAAAAAGCCTTGTGTGACTGATTTTCTGTTAATAACGTCACTGCTAGATTTTTTTAAGAGCTATAGGCCTCAATTTAGCAAGGTACTTAAGCATGTTCCTAACTTTAAGCATGTGACTAGCCCAACTGATAGGGGGACAAAGTTAAGCAGATGCTCAAGTGCTTTGTTGGGTCAGGGATCTACTGCTTAGTACCTTGCAGAACTGAGCCCTTATTTGCTTCTAAAGTCTCCCTGATAGATTTGTTTTCGGGTTATTTGTAACAAGATTAGGTTAAAAAAATCCAGAAAAAATGATTTCTTTTTAAGTCAGTGTCCCTTTAATCACACATTTCTTCTTACCCGCCAAGAGTTGTTTGTTGGTATGTGCATCTGTTTGTTCTCAATGTGTCTCCTACCTATTCAACTGCAAGCAACATCCTGATGGCTTTAATTCCCCCTCTAAGTCATATGTCTTGCCACCTGCACATGCATAGTACTGCTCATGATAGCCTGGTAGGTGAAGATTTAGGTTCCAGTTCTGCCAACACTCGTGCTTAACTTCACATCTGAGTAGTCCCATTAACTTCAATGGAACTATTAACCTATACAAAATTCAGCATTGTCTAAGTGTTTGCAGGATGGATCTCAACATTTTGCTCCACACGACATTTCATATCTCAGCTGCTTGAGACGGTTTACCTTTAGTAACCAGAACAGGGCTCTTAACTAACAAAACTAAAAAGCTCAGTCACCCACTTAATTTCCTTCTCCTGCAATTACTAACATAAGAGTCCTGCTGAACTGCAGCCTGTCTTAAGACTTGTATTTGTCTGCTGATATGAAGTCTTCCCTTCCCCAGTTTTGGTGTAGTGCAGTTTCTGTTCCCATTGAGTTTGCTGATTTTGCAGAGGCTCATGCCTTTGTTTCCTTCAGTTTAGATTATTTTAATGCCATTTGTATTAGTCTGAATTTGCAAACAATTAGCAGATGTCAGCTGGTACAAAACAATGTTAGACTTATTTCTGACACCAGACAGTGAGCACAGCACTCGAGCTGACAATGAAAATCAGTGACGTCTGTTTCACTTTTAGATTCTGAGTGCTGTAAAGTCTTATTTGGAGACACTAAAGGGGAAGGTTTAGAATATTAACAACCCCCCAGGCATTTATATTGGTGTTATGTTTTAGACGTGTGGCTCTTACACAATCCATATTTCAAGCTAAATATGAATTCGCAGCATTCCTGGAAATGACTTGCATATCTTTTAATGAAAGTGTTGGTTAATTTTAGATTGCAAATTTTACAATAGGAATTTTTGTTCCTTTTTTGGATTAGACTGGCTTTATACAGAGAAGGTGAAAAACGATATGGATACCATTAATAACTGTGATTTTTAAGTTTAGGGTATAGTCTGTATAAATGGCCACTATACTTTTGATTGCCCTCTGTCTGAGTGAAATCCACCTTTTTTACAGTGTTGCCAACTCTCAGGATTTCATGATGTCTCACAATATTTGTAGTTTGTCCCAAAGCCCCAGCTCTTGGAAACATATGGTCATGATTTAAAATGATAATTAAAAAAAGTAAGTTTCTAGCTGTGATGGGCAGTGTTCATTGGCAGCGGCATGTAGTGGTTAGGGCACTAGGTTTCTATGTGTCCTGCCCTCAGTGTCTCTCCCTAGCCACTGTCACTGCCCTTGGCGGTCTCCCTTTTGATATGTGTGGACTTGACCCTTGGGTCAGGTCGCCAAGTAATCTTATCCCCCTCTGGGGTAACAGAGTCCCAGGGAAGATATTGGGTCCTGTGCCGTCACAGTTGGGGGGGACTTTCAGTCGGTCTGTTGACCCCTGCAGATGCCAGTCTCCACCACAGATTTTTCAAAGCCTTTGTCCTCCCCTGGCTTCCCCAAGGGGGAGTCTGTAAGTGAGGGGTTTTGTGCTCTTCGTAACAAGGGTGGTTGGTAGGGTAGCCCAGGCCAGGGTCCTCTAAGATGCAATGATGTTGAGCACCCAGGAGTGATTTATGGCTGCCTCCTTGGGCCACTTCCTACCACCCACCACCCTGCCACATTCTTACAGGGCATGACACAAAGTAGTAAAGAAGAAGAGAGTAACCAAACCTTCTACCCCTCTGGGCTTAACAGGCAGGCAGAATCTCCCCAGGAAAGGTTTCTGAAGCTCTCAGGATTGGTTGCTCTCCCCGCCCCGTCAGAATGTTTCTGAGCTGTCTGGCTTCCTATTAAGCACCTCTTCCAGCTGGATGCTCCGTACGTGGGGATGGGCGGGGTCACCTAGGCCCAGAGATGCTCCTTAACCCCTTCAGTGCCAGTGTGGGGTTTAGACATCCCATCGCGCTAGCCCTCATGGTTGTGGAGAAAAATCTTGAAAATGTTAACACAAAGTCTTAAAACCAAGGCAAAAGAAAAACCCAGCATTTATTATTATTATTATTATTTTTAAATCTGATTATTTTTAAGCAAACCTCATGATTAATTAGGGCTTGACTCATGGTTTTTGAATGCTTGAGGTTGGCAGTACTGCATCCCTGCGCAAAGGGGCCCAGC